AGGTAGGCCTCTGGACTCTACTTGGACTCCTACCTTACAGGTCTACAGTTCGAATCTCCCTACAGCCTACAACCTACGGCGACCTACTTACCACTGGCTATCGTGCAGGTCACGGGTTCAACTCCAGGGAACTGTGCAGATACTGTACACAGGTAAGCTGAGGTCAAGGGATCGACCCCTGGAATCTGCATCGGCTACTGCCAAAGGTGAAAACTGTTTCACCATGGAGGGGTCAGACGGGTAAGCTTGCTTACTCGACCCCTCTAGCGTTGCCTCTGTATTGCACTGCTGCAGAGTGTGTGGCGCAGCCCTCCAAAAACAAATGAACAAAAACAAACAAACAAAAAAAAAAGACAACCTACACAGCTATGGCAATTTGGCAAATTGGCAATAGCTACAATAAAACATGTACCAGCAATAGGTTCAGAAAGAAACACACGTTGATCAAAAAACTGAGAACTGTACATGCGGAGACGTAAGCAATGCAAATATGTCGTATGCTTGTACGAGAAGCAGTCTATGGCCACTGTTTTTTCACTCTTCTTCTTTTTCTTCTCTTCTTCTTCTTCTTCTTCTTCTTCTTCTTCGTCGTCGTCGTCGTCGTCGTCGTCGTCTTCTTCTTCTTCTTCTTCGCCGTCCTCATCGTCGTCTTCTGTGTCTTCTTCTTCGGTGTCTTCTGTGTCTTCTTCTTCTTCTTTTACTACTCCTTGCTTCTGCTTGTAACTGTGCTTCTTCTTCTGGTGCTGCTTTTGCTTCTGCTGCAGCTGCTGCTTTAATTCTTGTTGTCGTCGTCGTTTAGTGGTGACAATAATTGTACTGGTAAGAAATTTGATATGGATAACCACTCCTTTTTCCCTCCCGTTCTCCCCCGCAACCCACCCCCTGGCCCCTCGATGTTTGCCATAGACACAAGGCTCACAGGCATAATGCCTTCATTGATTGCACGAAAGCCCTCCAGTTCAGCAGCCCTAGACGCATGCAAGTCCTCAAGGTCACCAGTAGTAGACACAGCGTTTGGAAAGAGCCAACAAGCGCTAAGTAATCAATCTTCCGAGAGTGTTCTGTCAATTTTCTTTGTCTTGAGGTACAACGTGCCAAAGAGTACGGTTCCCAGTTGTGACCACCCATCACTCACCCGTATGTAAACGTCACATCGGGTTCTTGTCTTGACTGAGCCATAGCAAATAATGACAAAAGAAGAATGCAGCATCCAAACGTCAGATGGAACGAATCAGAGACCAGCCCTGCAGAAGAGAAAGACACAAAGTAAATAAGATAAGACAAAGATAAGGTAACACGCACACACACACACACACACACACACACACACACAACACATGCACAAACGGAGAAGCGCACACACACACAAAAGACATGCACAAACGCAGGCACACACACAAAACAGCAAAAAACACCAGGATCAAAGGAACTGATGATTCATGATTGTGTTGATGAAAAACGCAATGATGACAAATGACGTTTTTTAAGCAGCGTGTACGGGGAAGGTATGCCTGTGGTGCTTTTCCCGGTGGGTTTGGCCCAAAACCCATGGATTCAGAGAAGTGCTAGACCCCAGTGCTGTTCCGAAGGCCTTCATTGTTTCTGGAACCCATGGGTTTTGGGCCAAGGTGCTTTTGCCCGTTATGATTTCTGGGCCTCTTACTTGTTTTTAAAAGACACACACACACACACACACACACACACAGAGAGAGAGAGAGAGAGAGAGAGAGAGAGAGAGAGAGAGAGAGAGTTTACGCCTGGGTCAATCCCCTCGTCGCAGTTGTGGCTTCACCTAATGAGCAAGGGACGATGATGGGAAGAGGGAGGGACGATGATGGGAAGAGGGAGGAACGATGATGAGGGGAGGAACGATGATGGGAGGAGGAAGGAACGATGACGAGGGAGGAACTATGATGGGAGGAGGAAGGAACGATGATGAGGGAGGAACGATGATGGGAGGCGGAAGGCACGAGCAGTGATGGGAAAAGAGAGAGGAGCGATGATGGAAGGAGGGAAGAGGGTTGATGGAAGGAGGGATGAGCGGTTCCAAACTTAAATTATAACGATACGCGCTACAGATGAAAGCGCGGGAAAAAGGTAGTGAAACACATTAAACGCGGGAAAAGAGGGAAAACACACAGCGGCTATATCGAACAGATACAAAGCCGCATACGCTAGATTGAAACAGATAACAAAAATTGAGAGACTTATCGCTATACAAATACAAAAGAGAGGAAGAGGAGGGCAAAGGCAGAATAGCGGTAAGCACTGGCCAAGTCGCCTCTTTTTTTTTTAACGCACCCACGCAAATGCAAATGGTCACAGCATTGAGCAGAGCACAGTCGACTCGCCTTTCCATTGTCGAAGAGACGAGAGAGATGATGTGCAAAGTGAAACCGACAAGTACATAAACCAAGTAAACTGAAGGAGATAGAAAGAGAGAGAAAGAGAGACAGAGAGACAGAGAGACAGAGAGAGAGAGAAGAGAGAGAAGAGAGAAAGAGAGAAAGAAAGAGAGAAAGAAAGGGAGAAAAGAGACAGAGAGAGAGAAAGTGAAAGAACGAAAGAGAGAGAAGAGAGAGAAAGAGAGAGAAAGAGAGAGAAAGAGAGAGAAAGAGAGAGAAGGAAGGGGTAGACATGAAGGGAAAACATGTCGTTTTGAACGAAAGTATAAACCCTCGAATCCTAGGCTATTTAGGAGCCGTCATCTCTCTGAATTCACGAAAAGTTACTGATAGGTTTGTGGCTAGCGAAGAAAACACAGAGAGAGAGAGAGAGAGAGAGAGAGAGAGAGAGAGAGAGAGAGAGAGAGAGAGAGAGAGAGAGAGAGAGAGAGAGAGAGAGAGNAGAGAGAGAGAGAGAGAGAGAGAGAGAGAGAGAGAGAGAGAGAGAGAGAGAGAGAGAGAGAAGAAAGAGGCGGCGAAAAAGAATAATTGCATTTAGGCAAAGAGAGAGATGGGGATGGGGTCTTTAATGTTACTCTGATATGATCAATTGCATTGCATAATAAAATGCTGTATATGTTCTTTTTTTTTTCACCTTCTTTGCTTTCTTTCTTTTAAATATGTTTTGTTGTCATGTTGTGTGTGTGTGTGTGTGTGTGTGTGTGTGTGTGTGTGTGTGTGTGTGTGTGTGTGTTTTCCACGCGCGCGAGTGCCTCCCTTTTTCTATCTTCCTCCGTTCTCGCCTCAGTTTCCATTCTACGAGAAGCGATTCGATTTCCTGCTCGCAATTGACATACAAGTTACAACACGGCTTTCTTTTTCGCATCTATCTTCCTCCCCCGTCTGTCTTTCTTTTTCTCTCGCATCCCCACTCTCAAAACCGCTCTCCCCCTCTTCGTCTTCTTTGTTCTTCACCTGCGAACAGTGCATGAGACGATGTAATGTTTCTGTTCAAGCATGTGCGAGAACCAGTCTATGGCCGCTGTTTTCACTATTCTTCGGATTGTGCGCGTGAGCTGAGATGAGTACGCGAGGCTTTGTATTGACGATTTTTCGAAGCGTGTACGAAAGGCAGTTGGCCACTGTTTCCATTATTCCATTCTTCTTCTTCTTCTTCTTCTTCTTCTTCGTCGTCGTCGTCGTCGTCGTCGTCGTCGTCGTCGTCGTCGTCGTCGTCCTCCTCCTCCTCCTCCTCCTCCTCCTCCTCCTCCTCCTCTATCACATTCTTCTTCTTCTTCTTCTTCTTCTTCTTCTTCTTCTTCTTCTTCTTCTTCTTCTTCTTCTTCTCTTCAACACTCTCTTTTTCTTCTCCTTCTTCTCCTTCTTCTCCTTCTTCTTCTGCTTCTGTGTGTGTGTGTGTGTGTGTACATGCACACACATCTCGCTTGCTCAATAATTTTTCTCGTTGTGTAGATTAAGGAGGAAACAGGTTAACGGCGGCAGGATGTTGTACAGCCAGTTTCCAATCAAGATCCGATAAATATAGCCAGTGGTTGGATGCGTGAGTCAGCCAGTGAAGCACCGAGCAAGTATTGATTGATTGATTGATTGATTGATTAATTGATTAATTGATTGATTGAGAGACTGACTGACTGACCTATCTGACCGGTGCCGAGGCCGATTAGCAGCTCCGCGGACGAATAGGTGGCATTGAGTAGAATCAAGATGAACAGCCGCCTGGCATCTCCACCTCGTCTGATAACGGATAATAGAGTCCACGGCTGGGATTCAATCCCCGCCCCTGCCATTCCCAGCATCTTCCCTTCTGCTTCCGTCGATTTCAGCTCCCTCCCCTTTTGCTCCCTCTCTCTCTGGCGCCGTTGATTCACTGATTTCCTCCGGCCTATCTTCTTTGATCTGTAGATAGATAGACCATCGATCTATTGCTCATCTGTACACAGATAGAACACCGATCTATTGTCAATCTATCGATAGATACATCATCGATCTATTTAGATAGATCGCTTGATATATCAATAGATAGATCAATAGATAGTTCAATAGCTACATCTATTAGATAGAACAAGTTGACCCCCCCCGCGGCTTGGCGCGCAGCTGCACAAATAAAAGCATCAGGATTCAATCCGAAAGTTTGCCCAGGTGCCAATCTGGCTGGGCAGTGAGATTCATGGAAAAGTATTGAAAAGCATCAAAAGTATTGAAAAGCATCACAGGCCTATTCCGTCTGAACTCTCTCTCTCTCTCTCTCTCTCTCTCTCTCTCTCTCTCTCTCTAAATGCCTTGAAACGAAAGCGTCACAATTCAAGTCAGAAACATGTAACAAACTGAGGATTATAGTTCGGGCTTGTGTCTTCACAAAGCATTGCTAGGTCGGCTTGATGTTTGTGCCTGCCTTAGGGTCTGATCCGACACTACATACGGTAAGTAAAACTGCGGTGGCATAGCAACAAAATCTGCGAATTAAAAAAAAAAAAAAAAAAAAAAAAAAAAAAAAAAATCTGCGAATTTTGCTATCCCGATTTCGCTGAAATCCCACCGCTCCCGGTCACATAGCGGCAGCAAATCACAAAATCACAAAAGACACGAGCCGGACTTTCTGGCAATGGCCAAAATGGTACCTCGGCTGGTCACACAGTGCGAGGCCCAAATCCTTCAACTTTTTTCTTTTTTTTTCCAACAAAGTTCGCTTCGAATATCCTTTCACGAACTCTAGAACTGAAGGAAAAAAAAATTGCTACAAGCGTTACACACCAAGGGCCTACTAGTAGGGAGGGTGATGGTAAATGGGGAGATCTCTGAGATCTTCCCTCTCTCCCTAGGTCCCTGAGGCTGGGGTGTCCCCTGGCTCCTATGTTGTTTGTCTTTCAGATGGAGGTGCTTGTATCATGATCAGACGCGACCCAGACATTCAGAACCCTCAACTTGGGCAAGGGAGGAAATGCAAGGCCTCGGCCATGGGCGATCTCTCCATCAATTTTCAGCCCTCACTAACTGCTCTCAAAAAATGCCTCTATATGATATATATTCCAAATTTTCAGAGGCTCTTGTGAACTGGCCGAAATCATCCAGCGGCCTAACTCAGTTCGTAAGGCACGCAAGTGGCACTCAGGAGGTCTTGGGTTCAATCCCAATTCGCCTCATGTACCTTCCTGGGCAAGCTTGGCACCCGCCACCTAGAGATATGCCGTTGGTTCCCCGGAGTGGCATTGAGCAGAGACTGGCTGATGTTCATAGGGGGAGGGGACCAGAGGGGAGGCACAGTGACTGGCCCACCCGGAGTGGCATTGAGCAGAGACTGGCTGATGTTCATAGGGGGAGGGGACCAGAGGGGAGGCACAGTGACTGGCCCA